GATTCCTCAGCACCACATAAGCAAAAAGAAAAAAGCCGGAAGTGGCGCTGTGCTTCAAGTGGTAGAGCGCTAGCCTTGAGCTGAAGAGCTGAGGGAGAGCGCCCAGGCCCAGAGTTCAGGCCCCATGACCAGAACCAAAAAAAAAAAAAAAAGTGATGAAAGGGCATGAGATTAAATCTGGGTTCTTAAAGTATTGTGGGGAAGCCTGGCCTGGTTTGCAACTTTGATTAAAAAGTGACTCTGGGAAGATAAAAAGAAAACAAAACACACCTCAACTCCAATTTCCTTCAGAGTACTCTAGGAAGCTAGTTGAAGAGAGGTGAAGGGGGGAGAGACTAAATTATTTCCTTCCTTTTATGACTTTGACTGCTATACTTCACTCAAGCAGTAATTACTGAATATAATAGCTACAATGTACCTAGCTGGGGAAGGTCCTCAGTTTACTTTCCCAAGGTGGAGAAGTATATGAGCTAAAATCTTCAGGTCTCAGCTTTACTTAGGCTGCTTGGCTCAGGGAAGAGGGGGACCTTTTCTGAAAATTCTTCTGTCCAGAAAGAGCTCTAGTTTATTCTCAATAAACAGTAGCAGGTGCTGCTAGAGATAAGGATGGTATAGAATAGATTGTGACCTAGGAGCTCACATCCTCAGGAGGGAGGCCCAAACTGAGAGCTGCTCTGTGGAGAAATCAAAGAACTAGTGAGAAAATGAATATTTTAGGTCAGCAGGCAAGGGAAGGGGTTGCTGAGGTAGAACTTCTGCTCCCATTCCTGAGAAAATGGAGAGAACTACACAAAGGTTTATTTTTACGTGTGTGTGTGTGTGTGTGTGTATGCATGCCAGGGGGCTTGAACTCCAGGTCTCATGCCCTTGCTTAGCTTTTCCTGCAAGGCAGATCCTCTACCACTTGAGCCAAACCTCCACTTTTTTTTGCTAGTTTATTGGAGGTAGGAGTCTGTCAGCTTTGTCTGCCCAATCTGGCTTTTAACAAGTATCCTCAGATCTCAGCCTACTGAGTAGCTATGGTTATAAGCAGAAGCCTTCAAGTGTCCAGGTCCTCAAAAAGGTTTAGAGAAGAAGTTTCTAGAAGTTTGCAAAGGCCCTGCCTGATTTGTTAACTTCTTGGGTATTTATTTAGTTAGGAAAACAGCAAGATCAGCCTAACTAGGAGAAAAGCAAAAGGTGTAAATCGGTCATATCATGTCGACCTTGCAGGCTGTAAGGATTCTTGTGGACTGTTAATGTGAAGGAAAAGTACTGGTGAGTCCCCACAGTTCACCTGGGGTTCTAGCCGCTCCTCTGGCTACTCTGTTACAGCAGTGTGCCCAATATAAAAGAAGTATAATATTAGTCATCACATCATTCACAGTAGTGGAAAGGTAGGAGCAACGCAAATGTCCATGGATGAATAAACAAAATGTGATCTATGCATCCAATGAAATACTATTCAATCTTAAAAAGGAATGGCATTCGGACCCATGCTACATGAATGAATCTTTAATATATTGTAAGTGAAATAAACCAGATATAAAAAACGACAATTTGTTTCCACATCCATAGTTAAACAATAGTAAAAATAAATAAATAAAAGTCAAATTTGCTGGGTACCCATGGCTCACATTTATAATACTAGCTTCTCAGTGGGCTGAGAACTGAGGATGGAGGCTTGAAGCCAGGCTAGGCAGAAGAATCTCTGGGACTCTTAACCCAATTATATCAAAAAGTCGGAAGTAGAGGTGGGACTCAACAGTAGAATATCAGCCTTGCAACAGTAGAATATCAGCCTTGCGCAAAAAAAAAAAAATTCAACTTCGAGTGGAGAATGAGTCGGTCAGTGCGGGTGAGAAAGAGCAAGCTTTCTGGGTGCAAAAGCACTGTGGCAGAGCAGAGCACACAAAGCCAGCCCTAGGCTGACAAGGAAGGGCAGAAAAGACAGGAGAGGTTTGATTACTCTTTTATTGGCCAGCCCTGTGGGTTGACCTCAGGGCCTGGGTCTTGTTCCTGAGCCTCGTTGTGCTTAAGGCTAGTGCTCTACCACTTGAGCCACAGCCCTGCCCTGCTTTTGGCATTTTCTGAGTCTTTCTTGGAAATAACACTTTCATGGACTTCCTGCCAGGCTGGCTTCAGAGATTGATCCTCAGATCGCGGCCTCCCAAGTAGCTAGGCATACAGGCATGAGCTACTACTTCCCCCCATTTCATTAACTCTTGTGTGTCATCCCCAGGAATGTGCACTGGAGCCAAGGTGACCCAAGCCTTCAGGGGAGCCCCAGACACCGGGGGCTGAGCAAAGGCGGGACTCCAGCATTATCTGCAAAGCCCAAGGAACTCGATTCCAGTGACCATTAGCAGCAGCAGAGGAGGCAGGGATCAGACTGGAGTGCACTCCAACTGCACCAAAATGCACCAGGAGCACCAATGCCCAGCGAGCACCAATTAGCTCCCAACAACCCAACTCCGCCTCTTTCTCACTGCCCAGTGGGTGAGGGAGCTACCAAGGAGCAGGATGCACGGTTGCAGCTCCAGAAGAGGGACCTCTAATGTTGGACCCACTGTTGGCACCCGGATAGACTTGAATCTCCACGCGAAGGTGAAGGCGAGTGATACAAGCATTTGCTAGCAAGTGTAGAATGGGGAATCATGGGTCTGGTGGTGGCTTCACAGTGCCCAACACTTGCATTGGCGGCGCCAACTTACCCTGCAGCTGTGACTCAGTGGTATGGCCCAGCTTGCTAGTCAGGCAGCGGTGGAAATGCTATAGAGTCAGAGTGGGGACAGCGCCATTGCTGTCTTGGGTTTGGTTAGTTGTTGTCGTTGCCACCACGTGGACACACGGTCAGGTCTGACCATCCATATTGGCCACATGGTGATTGTAGAGTATGGCATCTAATCTTCATGCTGGGGGAGGAAAACCAGCCTCCCAGATGATAGGCGTGCCCGGATCCCTGGAGGCAGGGGTGGGCACTTAGCTGATAGGTTATTGAACCTGTCAGTCCAATGCCTGGGACTGAGAATTTCCTGTGGCTCTGCCCCCTGAGCCGATCTATTTAGGCCAGCTGATGGGGGTGTCCGGATCCCTGGGGTGAGCACTTAGCTGATAGGTTATTGAACCTGTCAGTCCAGTGCCTGGGACTGGGAATTTCCGGTGGATCTGCCCGTGCTCGGATCTTTTTAGGCTCCGAACAGCTTAAGTCTTGCCACGTGTGTCTCCCTAGTTGAGTGCTGGGTCCTGTCTCATCTCTGGCCATCATGCCATGGTAATTCAGATCTCCATGGAAGCTGAATTGCCTTGTTGGTATTGTTTTTATTTCTTTCCTCTTTAGCATGTTTGCTAGCTGGGTTATGTGTATTTGGGGGGCTGTGGGCCTTTGTAACAACAGGCAGCCTGCAGCCTGTTAACTGTGTAATAAAGACTCCAGTATTTCATATTCCAAAATGTGGCTTCAGGGATAGCTCACAACACAGCTAGTGCGGAGCAGGGCTGCCTGGCTCTGAAGGGGCTTTTTCAGGCGGTGGTACTGGTGGCCCTGGTCTTCCTGCCCAATGTGGGGCCGTGGGCTTTGGACCGTGAGAGGCAGCTCGGTGGCACCCGTGGGGGTTCAGAAAAAGTGCTGGTTCTAGCTGCGGGCAGGTGAGTGCCTCGGTCCGGTATGGCATGGAATGCTGCTTCCCCCTTCTCCAAATACTTTTCTGCTGCCCCTTCTTGCTCCTTCTCCTCCTGTCGGAGTCCTCAGAGGCAGCAGGGGGAACATCTGCACTTTTTCCCGCCTTTTTTTCCCCCAGATGGGGCAAATTGAGGTCCCAAGGATGAAAATGTGTCCACTCAATTGAATCAGAATTAGAACCCAGGGCCCTTGGTGCCCCAGTCTGGGACTCTTATTTCAAATTTCCATGCTTTACAGTCAGTCCTCCTTTCTGTTGCCCTCTCTCGTCCCCTGATCTCATCCAATGTTCTCTTTCTGGGGAGAACCCTGTGTCCCAGGGTGTGATGCCTTCTGTAGGACTGGTTCCCTCCTCATCTCTGCTCTCCTCCCTCATCCCCGCCCCCACCTCACCTGATCCTGTTGTTTCTGCTCAGGTCAGTCCCTTTTTCATTTTACCATTTGCACAGGGGCCCCTGGGCCTCCCTGCTGCCCTCTCCCTATTTGGCTTTCCTCATTCCTATTTTTTTCTCAGATCCTGTGGATTCCTTGGGGAGTGAGTGCAGAGATCCTCTTGGAGCTTCAGGTGCCTTGGATAGGGTGAAAGGTGAGTTTCTGGCTCTTGAGGAACTTGCCACCTTTAACTCTCCAGGAGTATGGAGGTGTCCTGGTGGAAGGATCCCCCAAAATGTCCCGAAGCACAATTCCTTGGGGGTAGAATGCCACATGCCTTCCTCTTCTCCTCTGAATTGACGGGACTTAGTATTTTTTCCATTCCAAACTGTGATCATTTTTTGTTATTGCCTTTTTGAAACTTAATCATGTACCTGTACCTGTGTACATGCATTAGGCTAAATTTGCATTTTTCTGTGTGTGTGTGTGTGTGTGTGTGTGTGTGTGTTTGTGTATTCAGATCCTGGAACTTGAACTCAGGGCCTGGGTGCTGTCCTTTAGTGTTTTTCACTCATGGCCCATGCTCTGCTGCCTGATCCACAGCTCCACTTCTGGCTTTTTGGTGGTTCATTGGAGATAAGTCGTACAGATTTCACTGGCTTAGAACAAGGGTTCTCATATTTCAGCCTCCTGAGTAGCTAGGATGGCATGTGTGAACCATTGGCACCTGGCTTTGCCTGCTCCCTCACATCATTCCAACTCCCTTATCTCCTAGCAAGTCTATGGATACTTAAATTGCTTCCTATAGTAGGCATTTCAGATTTGCTTATGGGATTTTTCCTGGTCCCATAAGAAGTGGGTAATTTGTGTATCAAGATCTGACTTTGTTGGCTGGCCTCAAAGGAAGAGGCTGGATTTGTTTTTGTTGGGGGGGGGTCCTGTCATGGCACCTGAACTCTGGGCCTGGGTGCTGTCCCTCAGCTCTTCAGCTCAAGGCTAGCACTCTACCACATGATCCACAGCACCACTTCCGGCTTTTTCTTTTTGCTTATGTGGTGCTGAGGAATGGAACCCAGGGCCTCATGCATGCAAGGCAAGTGCTCTACCACTGAGCCACCTTTCCAGCCTAAGAGGCTGAATTTTTGAGGTTGATGCTTTTCCTTTCTCCTCAGTCTCTGGCTGGTCTCTGGCCATTCTGGTGTGTTGAGTACAGAGGGCTCTTTGCCACAGGGCTAATCAAATGGAGATTAGCAAATGCTCTAGTTAATACCTTGAGGTTAACTTGGCAGCTAGAAGTACGTCCTGTAGCAGTTAATTGCCCTTGTCAGTGTTTGAATTGTGTGAGTGAGTTGTGTGTCTTCTGTATTTTGCATATGCCGGACCCTCTGCATTTCATACATGTGTCACAGTCAGAAAGACAAAGACTTAAATGAGACTGTTGCTTCCTAACAACCACAATGGAACTGAGAATAGAGGGAGCCTCTGTAGCATGTGCAGTGTAGTGGGGAAAGGAGGTGAGCCACAGTAACCTAGCCCGGATCTCTCTTTGAGACCTCTCCTCTTTCCCAACTTCATATGGGAACTGGAGGAAAGCTGGTAACCAGGGCTGCTAACACTAGCCCAGAGCCTGCAGGGAGGGTTAAGCTCTCCTCAAGCAGGGATGATTAGCAGGTCAGGCCTTATCCAGGAGGAATGGAGCTGGCAGCAGGGGAGGTTCAGGAGCCTGTAGAGAAGCTCACCCCCACTTCAGGATGATGGGTCCTAGGTATGAGCCAGGGTCTCTCAGTGGGCCCTGGCCTTATGGATTACCAGAGTGCTAGTTAATAAAGGAATATAGTTAGTTAGCTGGGCACCAGTAGCTTATGCCTGTAATCCTAGCTACTCAGGAGGCTGAGAGCTAAGCTCATGATTCAAAAACAGCCTTGGCAGAAAAGTCTGAAACTTTGCTCTCCAATTTACTACCAAAAAGCCACAAAGTGGATCTATGGCTCAAGTGATAGGAGCACAGAAGCTCAGGGACAGGATCCAGGCCCTGAGTTTAAGCCCTAGGACCAGTCCCCAAAATAAAACAAAACTGAAACACAACGTTACTCTGTGCTATGGCTGGCAATTCTAGGTGCTAGTAGGACTCTCATTCCAGAAACCTATAAGGAAACTAGGGTTCTGTGGGGCTTGAACTTGTTTAAGATCCCCACCATGAGCTAGATTACCATTGGCCTTCCTGGAATTGTGCCCAAGGCTATCTAATTATTGGGCATGTACAGCTTTTTAATTTAACTTTCATTCTCTTGGAAGTGAGCTGCGGCTAAAGTGGTAGAGCATCAGCCTAGAGAGAAAAGGTTATGAGATAGCACACAGACCCAGACTTCAAGCACCAGCACTGGCACAAATAAACGCTCTCTCTTTTCCACCTATATGAGCCATGGAGAGACTGGTGTTGGAGTGAATGCAGTTGTGCTCTTTTGCTTACTAAATGGTAGGTCTTTCTGTACTTTATAGTGCCGACTGGCTTGAAATCATGGCCTGGGTACTATAAACTGAGCTGTTTTGCTCAGTTCTACCACTTGAGCTACAGCTCTAATTCTAGGTTTTTAGGTGGCTCATTGGAGGTAAGAGTCTCATGAACTTTCCTGCCCAGACTGGTTTGAACCATGATTTTCAGATCTTGGCCTCTCCTGAATAGCTAGGATAACAGATGTGGGCCACCAGCACCTGGCTTAGCTGGCTAAAATGCAAACCACCTGGAGGCAGCCCCAGAGACTTGGATTTAGTTGGTCAGGTTGGGGCTGGCACTATGCTGTGTGTCTGTGTGTTTGTGTGTCTGTACGTGCTTGTGCAGTTGCCTAAACACAGGACCTCATATTCTATTTTGTTGTTGTTGATGCTGGGGCTTGAACTCAGGGCTAGGGTCACATCCATGAGAGTCTTTTTCTCAAGGCTACCACTGAGCCACAGCTCTATTTCCAGCTTTTTCTGAGTAATTTACTGAAGATAGAATTTCATGGAGTTTTGTGCCCAGGCTGGCTTTGAACTGTGATCCCCAGCATCCTGAGTAGCAGCAGCAAGGATTACAGGTATGAGCCAACAGCACCCAGCTCATATTTGTAAAGAAAGATGAGGTAGTGATTATCTTTTATCATAAAGCTTGCCTCTGGGCATAAATAGTTTGTGTGCTACTTGTTGTTGTTATTGTTGTTGTCAAGTCAGAGGTGGGGATGGAACTCAGGACCTTGTACTTGTCAGGACAGGCTTCTCCAAGAGCTAAATCCCCAGCCCCACCTCATATTTTTTATTGTTTTTTTCCCCTCACAATTGGTGCTCTACCAGATGAGCCCCATCTCTATTTTTGTTTTATGTTTTTGATTTTTTTTCTTGTTAACTGGAGGTAAGAGTGTCAGACTTGCCTGCCCAGGCTGGCTTTGAACTGCAATCCACTCATCTCAACCTCAGGAAGTAGAATGGTGGGTTTCCAGAGGCTGGGAAAAGGCATGGATGGGTGTTGCTAATTAATAGGTACCCAATTTCAGTTTGGGATACTGAGAAAGTTCTAGAAGTTGATATCAGTGAGGTTGCTTGAAATGTGACTGTACTTAAAGCCACTGAAGTGTATACTTCTACTTGGTTCGAATAGCATGTTTTATGCTATACTTATTTTCACACAATGAGAGAATAATTAACATTGCAGCCAGAGAGGGGCTGGAAAGAAAGGTTGGCAGGAGGTGTAAAGTTCACTCATTCAGTTTCTCACCACCAAATATCTGTTGTTGGACCATTTGTGCTGGGCCTGTGCCAAGTTGGAACAAAGGCAGTGGGTGGTTGCTTGGAACTGGTGGTCTATTACTTGAGCCACACTTATACTTTGGGCTTTTTGCAGGTTAATTGGAGATTAATCTCTCAGATTTAGCTGCCATGGCTGGCTTTGAACTTAATATACTATCTTAAACTCATGAGTGGAACCTGCTCTCTCTTTTCTTTTGTCAGTCGTAGGGCTTGAACTCTGGTCTTGAGCGCTATCCTTGTGATCTTCAGCTCAAGGCGAGTGCCCGCTTGAGCCACAGCACCACTTCCGGTTTTCTAGTGGTTTATTGGAGATAAGAGTCTCATGAACTTTCCTGCCCGGGCTGGCTTTGAACCGTGATCCTCAGATCTCAGCCTCCTGAGTAGCTAGGATTACAGGTGTGAGCCACCAGCGCCAGGTCTGCTCTTTTTTGTTGTTGTTTTTGGTTATCAGGCTTTAACTCAGTGCCTGGGCACTGACCCTGAGCTCTTCTGCTTAAGGCTAGTTCTCTACCACTTCGAACCACTGTACTACTTTTGGTTTTCTGGTGATTAATTAGAGATGAGAGTCTCACAGACTTTGCTGCTCTTTAGCCTTGAACTTCAATCCTCTGATCTCAGCCTCCTGAGTAGTTAGGATTACAGGCAGGAGCCCCTGCACCTTGCTGGAGACCTGCTTTTCTATGAGGGAAGGGGCTCGGATTATCTCCATTTTACAGATGTAGAAACAGAGGCAAAAAAATTAAAATGACTTGTCTATGATGTCACTTGTCTATGAGCTGGGGCTTTTATCTTATAGCTTTCCAATTGCAAAGCTCACCCTCAAATAATACTCCATTTGTGTGTGGCCTTTGTCATCCCATCATATTCCTGTACCAAGGAACCAACAACACCCACAGGTGTGATTAAGAACATGGCTCTGTCTGGTGAGGAGACAGCCTGGATTTGAGTCTCATGTTCACTATTGAATTTGGATTGAGATGTTTGTATGGCCAAGATTCAAGTTTTGTGATCTTGTCTCTGGCCAATCATTTGTTCTGTGTTCCAGTGGCCAGGTCTGTAAGACTAGGATAATTTATTACCAAGTTCACCCATTAAAGTCAGCTTTATAGTTCATTTGAGTGAAGATGGCAACCTTGGGCTGAGTGTCTCATTCAGTGGTATTCTGTACATTTTTAGCATGGTGGGAAGGAGGAGGGCGGTGAGGGTAGAGGAAGAAGAACCAAGAGGAAGAGGTAGAGGTAGAGGTGGAAGTTGGCAGGTATCAGTGTGTGGAGCCAGTAATCCTAGTTACTCAGGCGGCTAACATCTGAAGATGATAGTTCAA